TATTAGTCTATGTTTAGTTTCCTTACACCTCAAGTCATGTGTAATATATATATGCCCCTTGGGCCTTCAATAAAGATAAGTTGCTTTCCTAACACCCTCCACCCCCGAGTCGTGCATACACTTTTGGGACAGGATTCGGGGCCCATGGATGATATGCACAACGAGTTCGCCGACCTCTACTACGACGCTCCCACCGGCCAAGACCCAAGACCACCGCATTCGTCTACTTCCCAACGCCACCCCTGCTGTCGTGTGCCCATACCGGTATGTGCGGTTGCACAAAGACGAGCTCAAGTGACAATGTGCCAATATGCTTCACCAAGGCCTTATCCGCATTAGCGACTCCGTTTTTTCTTCACCGGTCCTTCTCGTCAAAAAACATGATGGCTCCTGGCATTTTTGTGTCGACTACTAGGCTTTGAATGAGCAGTCTGTCAAAGATAAACTTCCCATCCTGGTGGTTGACAGTTGCTCAACGAACTCCATGGTGCTAGGCTCTTCACCAAGCTTGACCTGCGCTCGGGGTATCATTAGGTGCACATGCACCCAAATGATTTCGCCAAGACAGCCTTCTGCACTAATGATGGCCACTATGAATTGGTTATGCCTTTTGGCTTAACCAACGCACCAGCAACTTTTCAGGCTCTCATGAACGAGATCTTGCAACCCTTCATTTGTCACATCGTCCTCATTTTGTTATGACATACTGATTTATAGCTCATCACAGTGAAAGCACCTACGCCACCTTGTTGTTGTCTTTCAACTCTTGCGGCAAACGTGTCCTTTTCCTCAAGCAAAGCAAGTGCACATTCAGCACCACAAGTGTGGCTCACCTAGGCCATGTCATCTCTGTTGCGATGGACGTAGACAAGGTGTGTGCAATAGCTGGCCGACTCCATGTTCAGTTTGGGCCTTGTGCGGTTTTCTCAGCAAAAAGTTAATCAAGGACTTTGGATTGATCATCGCACATCTCACGCACCTACTCACCAAGGACATCTTCCGCTAGTGTCGAAGCTGAGCCCACCTTTCAAGAGCTCAAGTGCGCCCTCAGCAAAGGTGCAGTGTTGCACATGCCCAACTTTAACAACTGCTTCATCGTTGAATGCAACGCATCAGGGACATGATTCGGTGTGGTCCTGCACCAAGGTGTTGGTCCCCTAGCCTTCTTCAGCCGCCACATTGCCCCTCGCCATGCTAAACTGACTAGATATGAGCAGGAGCTCATAAGCCTGGTTCAGATTGTCCGCCATTGGCACCCATACCTGTGGGGTCACGCTTTCACCGTTTGCACCGACCACTACACCCTAAAGTTCCTCCTCGACCAGCGACTCTAGATGATTCCGCGGCACCAACGGGCCAGCAAGTTGTTCAGATTTTATTTCACTGTTCAATACCGGCCAGGCTGCCTGAACATCGTCGGTGACGCCTTGTCCCGCCGTGAAGCCAACGCTCTCCAACAATTTGTGCTTTGTCGCTGCCACTGTTTTCCATCTTCGACGATCTACAGGACGAGATCAACACCGCCCTTAAGCTCTTAGCCATGCGTGATAGCATCTTAGCAGGCAAGCTAGCGGCCCAATGGAGTTGTGCGGACAACTTGATCCTCCATGGACATCGAGTACATATTCTGGAGACATCCCTGACATTGGTTGCAATCCTCAAGCACGCCAGCGCGGCTCATGAGGGTGTGCAAAAGACACTACAACGTCTCTGCGCTGACTTCCATGTGTTGTGTGATCTCACCTAGTAGCTGATCTGGTGCATACTTGTTCCATGTACCAGCGCAACAAGACGGAGACCCTTCACCCTGCTGTCCTACTTGAGTCCTTGATGGCTCCCTCCTCTACGTGAGAGGATATCTCCATGGATTTCGTGGAGGCCCTGCCGTGCATGCATGGCATGCCTGTGATTCTCTACGTCATCGATCGCTCCTCCAAGTATGCACACTTCATCCCGCTGCAACATCCCTATACCGCTAGTTCATTGGCACACGCGTTCTTTGAGGGCATTGTACGCCTTCATGGTCTTCCACGGTCAATTGTGAGCGACCAAGATCCTATGTTCACCCGCGCTTTTTGGCAGGAATTGTTCAAATTGTCCTGTGTTCGGCTACACATGAGTTCAGCTTTCCATCCGCAGTCCGATGAACAAACTGAGGTGGTCAACAAGGTCATTGCCATGTATCTCCGTTGCTTAACAGGAGATCAACCGCGTCGCAGGCTGTAGTTTTTCGTGGGCAGAATACTGCTATAATACATCACACAACTCCTCACAACTTGCTACATCTTTTGAAGTAGTTTATGGGCATTCTCCGCCTTGTCTCCGTGACTCTAGTCCCGACAATTCCCAAGTGGCAGCTGTTGACACAGCCCTTCAGGACCGTGATTCTTTCCTCCACGATGTGTGTGAGCATCTACTTCAGACCCAACAGCAGTCCAAAGGTCCAAGCACTACTATGACAGTAGGCATCAAGAGCTCTCCTTTGACACCAGCGAGTGGACATGCCTTCTCCTTCAGCATCGGCCGGCAGCGTCTCTACCAGCAGGGCAAGTTGGCACCGCGTTTCTATAGGCCATTTCAGGTACTTGAGCACATTGGCTCAGTCGGGTACAAACATGCCCTCCCTGTTGGTACACATTCACTAGAAGTGCACCATGTCAGCCTGTTCAAGAAGTTCCACAGGGATCCCCCCCCCCCTCGCCACAACTCTTGTGTTGCCTGAGATTGAAGATGGTCATGCCGCGCCTGCACCTGCCAAAGTTCTTCGTGGAAGCCTACGTAGCGGTGTCAAGCAGATCTTAGTCCAATGGTGGGTACTTCTGAAGATGACACAACCTGGGAGCCGTTTGACGAGTTCGCTGCTCGTTTTTCCCTCCTTCCAGCTCGAGGCCGAGCTGTTTTTCGAGAAGGGGAGTGATGTTATGTGGGGCCAGACTTATAGCTGTAGGGTCAAATCTAATTAGCTAAAAACTTCAGTCTGATTAGATAGAGAGAAAGAGTCGAGATTGTAATCAGTTTAGTTTTGCCTTGATGGCCAAGTTAGTTCTCCTATAAGAAGGGACTTAATCCCGACAAAAAAAGCAAGCCAATGCAGAATATTTACTTTACCATAGCTGCCTAGAGTAACTAGAAATTCGAGTTCTTCCAGAATGCTGAATTGTAACATCTCATCCTAAAACAAAATCATATAGATGGAGAGTATTGTCATCACCTAACGAACTGTCATAGCGGCAAGTACCAGCAGGAGTTGATGGATTGAGTGGTGAGCCTGCACATGGAAAGATGTGCGTGTTTAATCTTTTGCTGCCTGGATAAATAGGCAAAAAAGAGTTTGGACTTCAGGGCAAATGGCACTCAAGAAGTTTTCACTTACCAACATTTGGCGTAGGTGTCTGAGGCCCAGCTTTATTGTTCTTAGTCTTTGATTTAGAATTCTTAACAGCTTTTCCGGACACTGGGGTGAGTAGCGGATTGCCAGTAACTCCAGTGGTGACAATCATACAGTCACTCGACTCAGCCGCATTATTTTCTTCACGTGTGGCTTTTCTTTTTAGCTGCAGAAGAGGGGACTTGTGTTATATGATGGTAAGACAGACTAGCTGACGTCCGGCAAGGATATCTATCATTAACTATTTCAGATTTTGGAGAAAATGCATCAGCTCAATCACATACAAAATCCAATGTCCTGACAGCAGAATTCCTGGATGTAACCTAGAAGACACACAAAGAACTAGGAGTAACTGGCATCTCCATAGTGGCACTATATCATTTTATTGCACAATTGAACCTAATTTAATACACTTAGAATCCACATAGAGACAACTTTGTGCAGTGGTATTGCAATGACAGAAATCACATGTGAAAACATAAGTGTATTGCGAAACGAGTAAACAGCTTGTAAAAATGAGAGCTGACGTATGTATTTGCAGCAAACAATTAGGATAAAAGATACCAGCATAAGAATTATTCAACAGCAATGACAGCCAAAATAGTTGCTTACGTTGTGTGATAATCCTACACCAAACTAGTTCATTAGATTCAGAGTATTTATAAACCATTGAAACAGTGAGCCTATGACTAGTTGAAGCTTTGACCTAACTTTATTCAGTTGAGGGCAATAAAATGTACTCCCTCCGTTGCACAATATAAGATGGTTTTTCAAGCTAACATAGCTTGAAGCTTGAAAACCGATCTTATATTGTACTACATGATAATTATCTCCCTATCAGAGCATTATGCATGTCTTCAACATTTGCACTCATCTGGTAGTTCGAGCTTGCACAGAATCAGGTATAAGCGGCAAATGGAACTCAGCTGCTCTTCACTGTTACTTGCTGAAACTTGTTCAGTTGATAATACCCCCTCCATCCCAAAATTCTTGTCTTAGATTTGTCCACATATGAATGTATCTATTCACATTTTAGTGTTAGATACATTCGTATCTAGATAAATCTAAGACAAGAATTTTGGGACGGAGGGAGTATTATATTATTCTTAAACTGTTCAAGGTGCTAGACACACATGTTGCATCCACCATACAGGCTGCAGAGAAGGGTTGAACCCAAAACATACATACCAACATAAACCGATAAATCATTTCTGTTCGAGCTCAAAGGAGTTTTTGCAGAGCAAGAATACATATAAATTGCGGTTCAACCAATTCTTACTGCCAGCCATGTCATGCGGAAGCAGTTGGCAAGTAATCCCTCCGTTCCAAACATACCAATTGAGTATTAATGAGGCTATATATTATTACCATATGTTGCCTAAGTATCTGTTTATTCAGGACCTCGCTGCAGGGACCATGTACAGGTGACAGAACTCTTCCTCTTTGTACCATTGAAGAATTGACATGAAACTTACCCGCAATTCCAATTCTTGCTGTAGCACGACAACATGACATGAATATTTATTTTGTCGATCCACGTCACACAATTAACATAGTCCATGTTTATCTAACATGTAAACAATTGTAGGCACTGGGCATTCAAGCTTCCGAAAACAGAGACAACTTTGGGGAGGACAAGAAATTGAGAAAAAAATAAGGAATCTGCAAGTGGATCCTTCAGATACACTCAAATCAGCACATACACCCAACAAAACCCGCAAGCTCAGAAACCATTTGGTGTCTACAAAAACAGTTCAAATCACACACAAGCTCAGCAACACCCGCAAAAAATTAGAAGGAGAAACGAATAAATCGAGAGCTCCTTGTGGAGCAGAAGTATCTCACCTGCGTCCGGATAACAAGCCCCTCATCAATATCGCCGCCAACACCACCGGCGCCGATGCCGCCGGAGCCGGTGGCAGAAGGGGTAGTCGGCGCATGAAAGCGGTGGTAGTCATCGGGTGAGGCGAAGGGAGGCCGCGACGGCGTGGAGAACACCGGGGGCGGGCGCAGCGACTGCAGGATTTTCTGCGCAGCCGGCGGCCTGCCGCCCCCCGACATAAGCCCGATCTCGCGATCGCGTGCTGCGGGACCCCCGACTCCCGGGAGCGATGGGCGTCTTC